CTGGAGGTGCAGCGTGTCCGTGGACCACAGAGGGTTAATAACACTCACCTTCCTTCCATTTCCACAGTGTAACATCCACCCACCTGTGTAAAATCCGAAATTCCCATGGTGTTGTTCAAAATGTGCTCTGGCACGATCATGAGCATCCCTTGTTGCTGAAAACAAGAAAAAAGCGGTCCTGCTATGGGCTGAACCATTTGTTACTGGTGCAGGGGGGACACTATGCAATATATTCAGTTTTAGCATTTATATTCACTGCTGACTGTAACTACGCTCAAACTGTTAATGCTGTCTTACTTTAATAAACAACACTGTCATATGCAAAACTGGGGTGGCAAGGGATCATTTTAGGGTGGCACTTGCCACCCCATGCCACCCTTCTAGATCCGCCCCTGCTCATTAGGCCCTCCCACTACGCTACAACTGTGGATTTTAATGCCACCCTGCACCTGAGGGGGCGACAGTGAGTCAGCCCTCAGTCCAACGGGACAGGAAGCAGCACCTCCAGGTCCAAGAGGAGCGTGCAGGCAGGGTGGAGTGGGTGGAGAAAGAGTGTCAGGGGTTTGGAGATGTGGAGATGCTCAGATGTTTTTTGGAAGTGAGCAGTGTGGACAGAATCCTGTCATCAGGGGAACGGCTCAGACTCAGAGAGGCTGAGATGGTCTGAGCCTGTGCAGAGGAGGAAAGGTGAAGGGAGAAGCTGCAGGCAGGAGGAGAAGAGCTCAGAGGAGGTTCATGGATGCAGTGAAGGGAACATGCAGAGGGTCGGAGTGACAGAGGAGGGTGAGTCGTCTGTGTCCTGTGCAGATTTAGCTCAGACTCCCACCAGCAGGGGGCAGTGTTTGAGCAGGAGTCAGGCTGAGGTGCTTCTGCTGCTGTGAATGAATTTAAAATGTACCAGTGTGTCTGCAGGCCACCTGACCTTCATCAGCTGATGGAGCCTTTTCTCCACCCTAAACCTTTTTACCTGCGTGCTTTTGTTTCCACTGCGTAAACTAAAGCACAGTTCTGTTTCTGGTTGGGTGACTTCCTCTCAGTAACGCCATCAGTATGATCGCTTGCTCTGATAGGCCGGCCTCATAAAGGCGTGGAGCGTTATCTGATGCAGACGGCGACAAATTTCCCCAGAACTGCTGTTCAAACACACGGTGGCAACGGCGTGAAGCAGCTTGCTCTGACAGCTGTTAGCGTCATGAAATAAAGATGTGGAGCTGCCGACGGATGCTCGGACAAACAGCCCATAGCCTAGCAACCGACGACATGCTGCTTACCCAGAACTCTGACGGCAAAGACCCCACAGTGAGCACGGACACACAACTCTGAGTGTGTACTCTGAGTCTACTCTTTACCTCATGCTGAGCCTGGACATTATCTTTCGCTCTTCTTCAGTGTCTGGATTGTGGACGGTTTTTGTTTTTCGTGGACGAACTTCGATCCCTGCGAGCCGACTGGCAGGAAAATGCCGCCTGCAAAGCTGCATGGAGGGAATATTTAACGTGTGATGTAAACGATGCAGAGCCATCAGCCTGACTGCAGGTTTTTCATGTTGTCCCAGAGAAAAAGAAGAAATATTGCTTAAATACAGTCCAGAAACATCACTTTAGGCTGACCGTTTCATGCTAGGGTTTAAATTGTATTTGCATTTGTTTTTCTGTTTTTCTTTGACAGATTTCCTGCCATTAGAAAAAGATGTAAATAGAGAGAATGGTGCAGAGATAAAACAGAAATAAAAGGAATAAATAAATTAAAGTGAATGTAAATAACGAGTATCACAGAAAGAACTCTGTAACATTAATTCATGTCAGATTCATTAGTTCCTGTAGATTTCTTTTGGCACATTTGTTCCTCCATAAAGCAGAGGGTCGAACTAGAGTGTGGAGATGAATCTTCAGTTACTGATCTGATCGCTCTGGGCAGTTCTTTTTAAATCGTTTGATCTGTTTCTGCTGCCTGGATGAATATTCTGAGCTGATGGGATTACTGCCTTGCTCAAAGGCTCTTCAGCAAGAAGGTTGTGTGATCAGCCAATTCAAGTAAAAAAGTACTAAAAGTAGAAATAATTAGTTTGACTTTGAATTTTTGGAGCAGAATTTGAGAAATAAAGAGTTTCTTATTATCTTCTCCTGATCAGCAATCAATAAAGTCCTGAAGCTGCTCTCAGCTACAGTACTCGAGTAAAAGTACCCAGTTAGTCTAAAAGGAGGAGGATGAAGACTCCTCACCATCTGTCCGCCAGTGTGCCGCTGCCGCTGATGCTGCTGGTCAAACATGGCCGAGTCCAGCGACAGCCCGCGCCGCGACCAGTACTTGCTGGAGAACATCATCATAGCCGGTTGCATCCTGGGGATGGGTTCGCCATCGTCCTTCATCACGTGGCCCGATGCCATCGGGAACCAGTGAGTGTACGAGTACCAGGACTCCAGCCTGTCGCTCTGCCGCCGCTCAGGAGGACGAAGAGGAGGATGCTGCTGCTGATGCTGCTGGAGCTGTGAGCCGCTGCCGACCCGCCTCCTCAAAAATACTCCCCCAGGAGGGGGAGGGGGGGTAAGCTCCACCCACAGCAGTCTCCAGGTGGGCGGAGACTTTGGCAGCAGAGTGACATCATTAGAGCACACATAGCAGCTCAGAGACACACCTGAACACAAACACACACTCATTTTCACATCTCCTTGAGGACATTGAGCTGATGTAACACTTTACCTGCTGTCTCACTCTAACCAATAGGAGCTAATGCCTGACCCCAACAATGACCTAACCACAGCTGAGGACAGCCATTTGGTCCTCCCAATTACTGGTCCCCACAAAGATGTTTAAACGAGCACGCACACACGCACACAGGGACCTGCGTGTTTAAAAGCAGTGAGATTGTGATATTAATGCCACGTTATGCCCTTGAATAATGACTGTGAATTATTATGTAGTTTTAGTTTGCATTATTCTCCTGAGTTACATTTGTTAAACTGCATTACATTAGGCTGCTGGCTTATTGTGAATGAATGATATTGTTTATGATGCATGATACTGCTGAGGTATAAGAAATACTGTTTTCAGAGTCAGGACCTTGTTTTCTGATAACAGAGGAGACAGAGAGCTTCTGCCTGGTAAAAGGTCAGAAGCATCAACGGGCAGGGTGAGGCCGAGTGCATTTGGAGGTTGAGACACACACACACAGTAGTTAGACTCATGTTTAGGTAAGAGTTCAAATAATAGTTTGCAAAAGCTTGTGATGCAAAATTGTGTCTGCCTAAGGGACAGTTTGCTCCAGGAGATAAGCGAGAGTTATTAACAGGAAGCACCTGGCCTCGAGACGGAGAAGATGTCCTTTTAAATGTGTCGAAAGTCGTCAACAGAACATTTGTGGTGTTGAAACGTATGCATGTGTTGTATCTGTTTGACACATGAGGGGGCGTCATAAACAATACCCTGATGTTATGAAAACAACTGCTTGTGTATCGTTGGGCGGAGATCGATGCTGTCGGCGTGCAGTGTTCATCTCCCCACGCGTGTGTTCATTAAATCATCCTAACTCTCCTGGACCAATTGTTGTCTTTGTGCTCACCCTCAATATTTGAACTCGTAACACCCTGACACACCTGGTCACCCCACCTGAGCGATTTCCCGCTGACGTCGAGTGTCATGTGACAGGTAGGACATAAAGAGTAAGAAAGGCTCCACGGCTCCGCCCTCTCCGGCTTGGACGGACCATACAACTCCCGCAGGTGAGGGGCGTGTTTCCTGCTCTCACACACCTTAAATACCTGCCTATGTTCATAAATCCTGTCACACAGCTGACCTTCACCCACAGAAAGTCATGTGACCACAAATCAAACTGATCACGTGTGGCAACTGGAGCCGATCAGGTGATGACACCTCTGACCTCTACCTTACTCATAGCAGCAGCAGTGGAAGCTGATGTCATTCCAGCTTGGGTCACATGATTCCCACCTGTACATCCTGCTGTGGCCCCGCCCCCCCGACTGCCAGACATCAGAGAGGGTGGTTTGGTTCGACTGTAAACATCTGCAGCTCTCGGCCTAATGAGCTTTGAGTCTGGAATGGCGCCGTGCTCTGATTGGTCGTTTCAGATCTTAAACTTCAGTTTGAGGTTTCATCAGCTGTGGGCACAGAGGAGCGGAGTCCTCTATTAAACCTGTGGGCGGGCAGGTGATGGACGGCTGATGGTTGGCTGATAAACGGCCATGATGGCAGCCGCGGTTATCAGCGTGCGGAGACAATTTCCTGCCACACAGGAAATGAAAGCTGCATCGGGAGGAGCCGCGGCTGCTTTGTTCCTGAGGCTTTATGAGCTGATTGCAGGTGATACCTTCATCTTCCTCCTCCTCCTCGTCGCCTTTAAAACCAAACTTCTCCAATCTAAGGAGGCAAGGAGGGGGAGGTGGTGAGGGGGAGGTGGAGGAGGAGGCCAGGAGATATCTGACAGTCGCATGAAAGCAGCTGAGGTGACATTTGGAGCAAACGGGAGGAGGCGTGACATTTATGAAGATGAATCGAATCATTTCCTCACATCGATGCAAGCAGAGCAGCTGCCCTCCACCTCCCCTCCCACTCTGACTGTGCAGTGGCGCAGCTCTCTGATTGGAGCTCGGCCCTGCAGGTGTGTTTTCCTTCTGCGTGTGACACAAAGCGAAAACGTCCGCGCGAGCATCATCGTAAATAATCTGGCCTCCCGTGACGAGCTGCGATGCTGTGTCCAGCTGTGGTCTCCATGGTTACTGACAGGTCAGCTCCAATAAGAGAGAGAGATGGCACTCAGTCCTTAACGTATTTTAAGGTGGAAGCAGACCTACACCTGCTGATATTTATGAGGACAAAGTTCAGCGTGTGTGGGTGGAGGTGAACATGGTGCAGTCGGACTCAGTGTCCCCGTATGCTGAACCGTCCCAGCAGCAGCGACCACAACACGTGCAGGATGTTTGATTGTATTCGGTAAATCCTGAGTGTTTGACTCACATACACCACAGATTTCAGACAAACTGAGCCTCAGGATTCAAAGAAGTGTTTGTGCTGACGTCGGTGAATACGACCCCAGACGCTCCTCCTCTCAACGCCAGCCTCGTTCATATCATCTCCACAAATCGAAGAGGATTTAGTTTTTGTAGTCTGCCTTCAGCACCCTGTAGTTTCAACATGCGTCACGTTAAAGAGCAAAGGGTGTATTGCACCACTTCACCTCACTACAAGCAGCAGGCGATTTTAGACCCAGACAGGCCGCAGGGCTGTGTGCTGCTACATCATTGAGTCTACAGGAGGTGGAGGCCCTGAACCACTCAGGACTCCACCCAGCCACCTGTGGCATCAGTGCCTAGTAGGGGTGCAACAATACACAAAATTGACGGTTCGGTTCAATACTTTGGTGTCACGGTTCAATATTTTTTCGATACAAAAAAATGTTCATGCCTTTTTAATTTGTCATTTATTAAAATTATAAATATATATTTTAACTCAAACGTGCAGTTTTTAAATTTAATGTTGCTGAAACAACAAAGTAAAAAAATAAATCCAATGGAGAAATCCCTCATCTTTGGAAAAGAGTTTATTACAGAGAAATGGCTCTTTCAAAATAAAAGCTATACTATACGCTTCTTCTGGGCTATATTCTCAGCAGCATATTAAACATATCAGGTCCCCATAAGGAGAATCCTGTGCTAACGGC